CCAGACCACAAAGCCCTTCAAAGGGCCTCCTGTCCACGACCAATACACGCTAATGAGATGGGCTGGAGGCCGCGAGGTCCGGCGCCCCCGTGGTTTGCCCTTGGCGCTTGGAATGGGAAAACTGTTCTCGATCATAATGAGAAGTTCCCGGTAGCCTTCGGCGCAACCCGCCAGCCAGCCAGACGTACCCCAGTGGGGTGGGAAGCAACATTTTATCCCGTCGTGCTTGGGCTAGGTTGGGCATGTCCCCCTACAGGCGGATTTCCGACGACAGAATTAAAGATTGAATAGAAAAATCGTCCCCATGTTGTTTTTTAACTATTCTTGAATTTTCTTCCTGTAGAGCATGCTTGGGCTCCAGGAGGACCTCCGAAGCGACCTTGGGGCCCCAGGTGGCGCCCAACACTGCCCACCACCGCCCCCCAGGACGTCACCCATAGAAGCCTCGCACGGCCCCCAAGATGGCCCACGAGACCCCGCTGCCTCCAAGAGGGCTAAAAAGATGCCCCCAGGACATCGGGCATGTCCTCCTACAGGCAACAAATGTATAACTAAAAAGCATGTTCCTTTTAAAGGAAACACTTCAACAATACTCCTGGAATTGTTAAACCCATCCTACAAACGTCCCCATACTATGTAGCAATAGTTTTGAAAATTCTTCCTGAACAGAGACATGCCATGCCCGACTTTACCATAAGCAAACACTTGGGGCGTTGTCCACGGATTTCCTGGATCTGCGCTGGACCCCCTGCTTAACGCGCGGAGCGCGCCAGGGGAGGCGCTGGAGGCGCCGCCAGGGGTGCCAAGCGAGGATACAACACATCCGCGCGGAGCGCCACAAGTTTATGTGTATGCTGTGTCTCGTCTGTCTCGAGGACAGCCCAGACCGGGACGCAGGACGGGCCAAGAGACTTCAAAAACAGCCCTCACGTGGCCCAGAAAGCCCACCAACAAGCCTCCGACGGCGTCAGATAAGGCAATGCCGCCCCAAAGGCCCAAGAGGCCCCTGCGAGGCCAACAGCAGGCCGTAAGAGGCCCCCACAAGGCTCTCAAGAGTCCTCCTTGAACACCCCCTGGGAGGCCACCAGGAGGCGGCGAATGGGCTCCCCAAAAGCCTCCAACTCCTCCTCCTCCTCCTCATTCCCCCTCCTCCTTATCCACCTTGTCCTCCCTTTCCTCCTCCTCGCCCTTTCCCTCCCCAATCTTCCACAACGGCTGGGCGAACACATGCAATAGGAGCTCGACCACAAGAAAACTTCCACAGGACGTCCATTGACGTTTGGTGTGGGAGCACCAAGCTCTTTATAGCAAAACCATCATCAAACCCAGTAAACCCAGGGCACCCTGAAGCAAGCAAGGTGTTTCTTGGCATGGGCTTCCCTTGTAGTCCAATACTTGAGCCCAACATTGGCCAAACGTTTGGCCACATAGGCGTTTCCAAAAGGCTAAGGGGCGGCGGCGCTTCGCCATGGGCATCTTAGACACCCTGACAAGGCCAAGATTACCGGGCGATCCTGCGAGTTGCGCCTCCGGTGTGGCATGACGCGTGGCTGTTCAAAGGCGTCGGGAGCGCGTCTGGAGGCCCATACTAGTGGCGAGCGAGGGGAGGACAGAGAAGGAGAAGGCCGGCGGGACTTCTCGGATACCGTCGCACCTTCTGAAGAGTATTCTGTCATCGGGGAAGCCTCCGGAATCTTCTCTGAAGCCAGGGGGCTCCCGAGCCTTCTGCGAAGGCCCCCACATTATCCCTCCCACCGCCCTCGCTCGCCGCCGACTAAACTTGACACATGGCCTGAGATGGTCCCCGAAACCTTTTTGGGAACCCACTAGAAGACCTAGGAACCCCATCAAGAGACCAATATGATGGAACGGCATCTGCGTGTCAGTGGATGTATATGTCTCGCTTGTGGGGGAAACCTACGAGCGCCCAGGACGGCCCAACACGCCTGCAACATTGCCTCAGGAAGGCATCCAAGCGCCCAGGATCGGCTCAGAACGCCGCCGAGATGACCCTAAGAGGGAGAAGGCTCCCAAGAGGCCCCCACGAAACCTGACGCATGCTCCCCGAAGGAGCGTCTGCAAGAAACCTCAGGTCCACCCAAGGCCCCGCGGCGCGTTGGGCCGAAAGCAGGAAGGCTCATGATTTAATCGACAAATCTGATCGGCGATCGACATGAAACGGACCGACGGATATCGGCAGCCGAATTGGGAAAAATCCAATCGGCAGACATCGGCAGGCTAGTAAACCTCCAATGTGAACTCGGATCCCAAATCGGATTCCGAAACCGAATCGACTCGGAACCGGAACCCATCGAAATCGCATCGCGCAAATGGCACTGAATCCGCCGCCCCCCGCAGGGGGGGCTGCACGCAATGCCGAGCGATAGCCCGACCCGTTCAGCCCTTCCACGCGGTTCCCAATTAGGAGACAAGGAAAAGAAAGGAATTTCACACAGATGGTTTTTGCACCACCAACGTTGCAACGCATGTCCACCCATGCCACTGGATCGCAGCCGCGCTCTAATATGCATTCGAAAGGTAAGCTGTGGCAGCGCTGTAGGCGGCGACAAGATCACAAGCTTCGCTACCAACGAGCATTACATGGTGGTTTGGCGCAGCCAATCCACCATGCAACGTCAGTTTGTTCATCTGTTGACAGCAACACGCGTCGCGGCAACAAAACGCAGTAGCGTGCGCGGGCATGCAGGGCCGGCGATGTGGCTGGCCAGCTGCCTGCGCGATGTCGGCAGGAGTGCCAAGATCAACGTCGCATTGTTTTGGGGTTTTGGGCGTGGTATCCGGCGCAGCTGCATCGCACTGCCAATCGCCGCGGCCTTGTGTCTGTAGCGCCAGGCCCCGTGTGCTCCTCGAGGCGGGAAACTAAGACTTACACAAAGAAATCGCGCGTGCTCTTGTGGGGCCGGCGAAAAGGATCGTACACGCAATAAATTCCTTTGTGTGCCCCGCCGCGCTGGCAATGCAACCGAACCGCGCGCAAAAGAATTGCACGAGACTTCGTGGCACACAAACGAATTACAGCAACGCCATTTGGGTTGCGCTTTTCGCGCGCGGTGACAGCTCCGAGCTGGAAAGGAAGGGGGGGCGGGACAAGGCAAAGCAGGGGAAGAGGAACAAGATGAGGAGGGCGAGGAAGAAGCGAAGGAAACAACGGAAGGAAGCCAGGATGCGCGCAAGCGAAGCCAACACTGCGCGCCGAGACAACTGTTCATTCGTTCGGTTGGCCGTGCAGCATACGAATAGAAAAAATGGTCACACACCCCCTGTGATCCACCTCACCCTCTGTTTTCTTATCTGACCGTCACCCTTTTGTTTTCCTATCTCATCGTCGTTCGTGCTTTGAGCTGGCGCTGCTAATCTTTTGTGGCGTTCGATTGAGCGGAGGAACGGGAGAACAAGAGAGCGACTGAGCGGGAGAAAAGTGCCTGGAAAAGGCGCGCGAAAATACAAAAAAACGAAAAATGCCACCCAAAAAAAAAACAAAAAAAACAAAAACTAAGGACATTCTAAGAGAACCATCCGAAAAAGTTGCGAAAACATGTGTTCGCTTAGGTTTTGCACCCATCGGAGGCCCCAAACCTGTGAAAACACAAGGTTTGAGCGCATCTGAAATAGAAAACCATATGTTTTCATGGGTTTGGGGCCTCCGATGGGCGCAGAACCTAAGAAAACATATGTTATCGCAACTTTTTCGCATTGTTTTCTTCGGATGTCCTTAGCGTTTGGTGCTTGTTTTTTTTGTGTGTATTTGTTCGTTGTTTTTGCGTTTTCGCCTGCTTTGAATTTGCGAGCGCGCGAAAATGCAAAAAAGGCAAAAAAATGCACACACACACACACACACATACATACATATATATATATAATCTAAGACATCCTAAGAAAACCATGCGAAAAAGCTGCGAAAACATTTGTTTTCTTAGGTTTTGCACCCATCGGAGGCCCCAAACCTGTGAAATTACAAGGTTTGAGCGCATCTGAATTAGAAATGCCTGTGCTTTCACAGGTTGGGGCCTCCGATGGGCGCAAAACCTAAGACAACATATGTTTTCGCAGCTTTTTTCGCATGGTTTTCTTAGGATGTCCTTAGTTTTTTTTTTTTTTTTTTTTTTTTTTTTTTTTTTTTTTTTTTTTTTTTTTTTTATCTCTCCTTTTTTGAATTTTCGCTTGCTTGCGGCCGGCGCCACGTCGGCCCGCCCGCTCCCTGGGGCGGGCAGACGACAATTCGAATCCTCCATTGGTGCGCTCCTCAGAATGACATCCCATGCCTGTGGAACCTCGCAGTCGAGGTCCGCGCAGCCACGAGATTCACATTAGAACTTCCTCAATTTGCATATCTGCGGGGATTATTCGGCGACAGGGAGCGTCCTGAGGCGACCCGATTGCACTTCGCCTTGGCGGGCATCGAGGACGACATACTTCTCGAGGCAGGGCGCGAGCTCACGGCGGGAGTCGCGGGCTTAGCCCTGAACTCATACATGTTCGACGGCGCGGCTGTAACAGCGTCGGCGGACGATCTGGACCTGATAACCGGCGTCCTCGAGGTAGTCGGGGAACGCCGGGGAGTTTCTTTCACAGCTTCGGCATTCGACGATGCGCTGGGGGGCGCCGATCCGTCTGCGGCCGCGACATGGGCTGGCTTTCAAGTGGAGCAGGAGCAGTTGCACCTGCGATTCCGACAGGGAAGAATCACTTCGAGCACCCGATTGAACAGGGCGGTGGCCGCGCTCGAGGAGCAATATGGCCAGAACGCGATCCATCTGAGAATGCTCGTGGGTTTGCGCCCGCAGCCGCCGCTGAGGTGGCGCAGTTGCGCAGCCCCTTCCTCGCAGCAGAGAACGTGGCGTTCGGTCGGGGGCGGAGGAACGCCTGCTGGCCACCCAGATGAGAAGTTCTCGCTCGCTGGCTGCGCTCGGGTCCGCTCTCGACTGCAGGCAAGCGACGGGCGAGACGTCGTCCAACTTGCGGTAACTCGCCGAGAGATCATGATCAAGCTGGCGGCTCTTGAGGACGCAGGCTCCGATGTCTTTTCGTTCGTCTACCCGTCCGACGACCCTCGCCCCTTGCCTGCCGTTTTTACAATGGTCGCGCAGATGGGCCACGTCGTGATGCCCATTGACGTCGAGCTGTTTAGAACGATGCAAGTGGGGATATTCATGCGTGTCCAGCGCTACTTCGAGTTCAGGGAGAAGATGGACGAGGTCGCCGTTGCGCAGTTCACTGCGTGGGCCACAGAGCTTGAGGCGGCGTTTGGATGTGAGGCGCGGCTTCTGCGACTCCTGGTTCTCAGGCTGCGCTCGCAGTTGGCGTCTTTCCTGTCGGAGCAGCATTGCTTGCACGCACGAGTGCGGCAATGGCTTTTTCTCACAGGCGCCCATTTCTCCAGGGAGGCAGCGGCGCTAGAGGCACGTTACGGCCGAAAGGCGAGCCGCCTGAGATGGCTGATGACGCAGCGCCCGCGACCTGCGTCGGCGACGCACAGTTGCGCGGCCCCGCCCTTGCAGCAGAGGGCGCGGCATTCAGTTGGTGGCGGAGGAACGCCGTCTGGCCACCCAGACCAGGAGTTCTCGTTCGCTGGCTGCGCTCGGGCCCGCTCCCATCTGCGGGCGTTCGGCGGGCAGGGCGTCGTCCAACTTGCGGCAATTCGCCGAGAGAGCATGATCGAGCGGGCGGCTCTGGAGGATGCAGGCGTCGGTGACTTTTCGTTCGTCTACCCGCCCGACGATCTTCGCCCCTTGCCTGCAGCAGCATTTACAATGGTCGCGCAGATGGGCCACGTCATGATGCCCATTGGCGTCGAGCTGTCTAGAATGATGCAAGTGGGGATCTTCATGCGTGCCCAGCGCTACTTCGAGTTCAGGGAGAAGATGGACGAGGTCGCCGTTGCGCAGTTCACTGCGTGGGCCACAGAGCTTGAGGCGGCGTTTGGATGTGAGGCGCGGCTTCTGCGACTCCTGTTTCTCAGGCTGCGCTCGCAGTTGGCGTCTTTCCTGTCAGGGCAGCATTGCTTGTGCGCACGAGTGCGACCAGGGCTTTTTCTCACAAGCGCCCAGTTCTCCAGGGAGGCAGCGGCGCTAGAGGCACGTTACGGCCGAAAGGCGAGCCGCCTGAGATGGCTGATGACACAGCGCCCGCAACCTGCGTCGGTGGCGCACAGTTGCGCGGCCCCGCCCTTGCCGCAGAGGGCGCGGCATTCAGTTGGTGGCGGAGGAACGCCGTCTGGCCACCCAGACCAGGAGTTCTCGCTCGCTGGCTGCGCTCGGGCCCGCTCCCACCCGCGGGCGCTCGGCGGGCAAGACGTCGCCCAACTTGCGGCAATTCGCCGAGAGAGCATGATCGAGCGGGCGGCTCTGGAGGATGCAGGCTTCGGTGACTTTTCGTTCGTCTACCCGCCCGACGATCCTCGCCCCCTGCCTGCAGCAGCATTTACAGTGGTCGCGCAGATGGGCCACGTCATGATGCCCATTGGCGTCGAGCTGTTCAGGGAAATGCAGGGAGGTTTTCATGCGAGTCCAGCGCTACTTCAGTTGCAGGGAGGTGATGGGCGATGTTCCCCTTGCGCAGTTCACTGCGTGGGCCACATATCTCGAAGCGGCGTTTGGATGTGAGGCGCGGCTGCTGCGACTGCTGGCCCTCCGGCTGGGCTCGCTGCTTCGCTCGGGTAACGCGGCGGCGACAGACAGCCAGTTCGATGGCGATTCGTTGGATGGTTCCCTGGCGCGTGGCATTTGCGGCAGAGTTCCCGATTCTGGCATGGAGGGCACAGTCGACACCCATAGTAAGGATGAACAAGTCCAAGAGCACTCCTGCATCCTCATCCCGCGACCTTAGTTTTCCGGTCGTGCCCACCTCTCACATTTCCACCCCTTGGCCCATCGAAGGAGTGCTAACGTGGCCTTCCAAAGTCCTTGCATCCTCAGCGTGCATCCTCACTATAGGTTTTTGATTGTAGAAAGCAAATCGGTCAAGTGCTTGCGTTCTGTCTGCCCAAATATGTCTGACAAAGCTTTTGGAAACGCAATTTCTGATTTGATGGTTTGTGTCTGCATGAGCTGATTGCTTTCGCGCCGTCGGAAGAGGTGCCATCTGCTTCAACGGCTCAGACATGTGCGTGTAATGTGTCCATGCGCACCTCGACAACATCCGCGACTGCGAGTCCGATGGCGATATGGAGGACCAGTATACTGACCTTTACGCAGAGGACAGCAACGTGGAATACCAAGATGAAGACGGCTTTTCCGATGGATCTTCATGGTCATCTCTCGCCCAGGCCATTTGGTTGCTACGCGTCAACTGCCAAAGCGACGACGACTGCGAGAGCGACGACGACGACAGCCTCGGCGGCGGGCCGACTCGGCCGCGCGCAAAGAAACCCGCTGCTTTTCACACTTGCACGCCGAAGCGCGGGAAAGCCCGAATGGCAATGAAGGTTGCCAAGAAGCCGTCTGGGGCGCACAAGATGCCGTTCGTGCCGTATGTTCGCCATGGGCAGAAGACTGTCGCATCGAGGCCAGTGAAGATGCATATCATGTGCCCTGAAAGACATTTATACTGCATCCGCTTCCAAGCTCATTCGCATGCTGACGCGGAGTGGCCATCTTCGCGACTGGGCTGGCGAGCAGCGCCCGTGGTGCGCGACTGGGCGCCTCGGGCCCCTGCGACGCGCGCCTGGTAGAGGTGACGTTTACCGCTGCAACAGGAAGATGTGCCACCAGTTCGTGACGCCGCAGCACAACCACCCAGTATTTAAAGCTGGCTGGGGCAATGCGTCCGCTCCGCTGTCAGATAAAGCTGTCGTGCGCATGTGCGCGGCGTGGGGCCTCTCTCAGGCTAAGTGCCACCAGGTAACAGGTCACAGCAGCAAACTCATTGAGAACACATACTTGCGCCTGGATGAAGCGAGGATGAAGTACGTGCTCAAAAAAGAAAGGACAATTCGCTTTGGCCCGGTCGAGGAATGGAACGACATTGAGGCCGATGAAGTCGACTTGGGCAAAGAGGACGACTGGAGGAAGACGGACAAGCAGAAACCAGTTCAATGGGAGCAGTGGGGAGGCATCGTCGAGCGCGGTCGGCCGCATGCGCTGGTGCTGACTCGCGCGCTCCTCAGATGCTGCTCTGATTCGCATCCTCTCGCGCAAGCCCTTCTGGTTTTCGGTGCTTGCGTTGCTGCCGTCGCGCGATTTCGCCGAGAGAAGACCCGATTGGGCGATTGCGATCGATCGTGCGATGATCGCGAAGGCACCGCTCCGACCGATATGCACTGCGATGCGAACAGGCAGCCGGCCCGCGATCTCGCCGAGCTCTGGTTTGGTCGGTTGGGCGATATCGGACGCGATCCGATATCGAAGCCTACGCTCCTATCGATTTGCACGGAGATGTTCGTAAACGAACAGATAAGGACTCGATCCGCGCCGCACGACTCGTCGTGCCCCAGGGCCAGGGCCAATTCGCAAGCGGGATTGGAAGCCGACCACCAGGAAGCATTTGGAGAATACCAACGTGGTTTTGCATACCGACGGCGCCCGCGCATACAAAATGCGCATCCCCGGTGTTATTCACGACAACGTGGCGCACTGCAAGAAAAAGGTCGTCTTTAAAGGAAAGACCGTATGGGTGAAACCGAAGTACTCAGAGATTAATAAGCACATTCTTCCTGACGGGCAGCACCTTTTTGTCAAAACAGGCACGCAGATCATCGACCGTTTCTGGTCCCACTTGAGAGCGCACCTGGGCAAGCGCGCGCACAAGGTCAACAACGGATCCATGTGTCGACGTATTCGTTCTGCTCAGTGGACGTACTGGGAGGAAGGCCAGGACCTGTGGGTCCGCACAGGTGAGATGCTGAAGACTCCCTATTGATACTTAGCCGCATAGGTATTTGTAGGCACTGGAAAGGCACTTGCAACTTTGTGCGCGAAAAACAACTATGGCAAGTCAATGACAGGTGATTGCAGATTGAATGAAACATTGAAGCAGCGATGAGGTGGATCACAGGGGGGGGTGTGAACAAAAAAATGTGTGCTGCCGATCGACGAGACTTTTTGGAAAGGAGACCCGCGCTCCCTTCCCAAACCCGTTTCACACACCCCGTTGCGAGCGCGAAACGATATGTTCTGGCACGCGTGCAGAGGACTGCCAGTTGCTGGTGAGCAGCCTTTCCACCCGTCACACGTTCCAAACAAATGCGGCGAACTAAACACACTTGCCACGCAAACCGCCAGATCCAAGCACCGACGCCACCCCGATCCCCGCATCCGTGCCAGGCACCCTCTCAACGACGCCCCCTTCTGGCGTAAAACCAATAAACCCCTTTGTGTTTGTGCTTTTTCCTGCTCAAACCAATGGGATTCGGTCGGGCGTGTCCTCCTACAAGTGGATGCTGCACAAAAAACAAAAAATTCTCGAAGCATGCTCAAACATAGTTGCTTTACAAGTCGAAAAAGACGCCCCCACACTATTTGTTTACTATTTTTGAGCTTTCCTCTTGTAGAGGGACGCCCGACTGAACAGTTGGGCCGAAGTGCAGCCCGCCGGCCACCCCACAGGGAGCAGCCCGCGACCCCTTAAGACGGCCTCCGAGGGCCAAGAGGCCCCGCCCGGAGGCCACCAGGAAGCACCCAGGATGCCCTGGAGGGCCCCCACGAGCTCCAGGAGGCTCATCCTACGTGCTCCCACTAACCCCAGGAAGCCGCCTGGAGGCTCCTGGGCCCCAAGAGAGCCTCCCAAGTGCCTTCCAATGTCCTCCTCCTCCTGCTCTTCCTCTTCCTCCTCCTCTTCCTCCTCCTCCTCCTCCTCCTCCTCCTCCTCCTCGCTCTGCAACTACGCAACTACACGTCAAAGCGATACTAGTCTCCTCTCTCCCCCCACTCTGTCCAGAGGATGCCCCACCCTCTCCGTGCACTGTGCTTACGCACAGGATTGGACAAAGGTGATGTGTCTCATGCCTTTTTGTGGTTGCCATACGATTGTTTTCGGCGTTCCCAGGTTATGCTGCCGATGCAGCGTGGGCCTGATTTTGCGGATCGGTGCTTTACAATCCCGTCGTTCAGAATGGCGCTCTCGCCCCAACGCGCGCCACTCTTCTGGATGCGCGTCTTTCCTCATCGATGTCGGCCCCCTCCTTTCCCCCCTCCGCATGCCCCTTGTCCTCCTCCATCTCCTCCCTCCTCCTCCTGCTCCTCCTGCTCAACCCTCCCTGTTTCCGACTGCGCACAAGACGATTAGGTATCGTGGGGAGTCCGAGGCCCGCTTCGACACGCGTCCGCAGAGAGAGGGAGAAACAGTTCCATGGGAAGGCATGGGTGGGAGGGGCAGAATGTCAGAAATGATGGCGCGAGCGCACCTAGCTTGCATTCTCATCTTTCTTCTTCCACCAAGTGTTCCCAAAAGGGTTCTGGGGGAGCACATAGTCCAATAGCTTGGCCAAGCTCAGCTCAGCATTTGGCCACATCGGCAGTTTCAAAAAGTAGCGGGAGGCGGTGACTCGCCGTAGGCGTCTTCGACCAGTTGCCAGCACGAGATGCAGGGTCGGCTATTTGCGGCGCGCGCAGGAGGGTGGAGAGAATGCGGAAGGCTTCTTAGGAGGAGGCTGCCTCTTAAAGGGCCAGCGCCTCCTGAGAAGCAGGGCGCAAAGGCAAGCCATCGGGCTCGGGCACAGCCGTGGACGGGGCAGAGCCAAGAGCATCGGCAGCATCGGCGGGCAAGCGCCGAGCAGAGGGCTGGCCGGGCGAAGGTCATCGGCGGCAGCGGAGAGCAAGCACCAGGGCCAAGGGCAGTGGGGCACAGAGACGAGTGAAGGGGAGCTCCCCCCACGGCCCCAGTGGGGTCCGCACGGCGGCGCCGCCCACTTCGGCACACCCCTCACGAGGACTGCGCCCACAAGGCGAGCTCCGCCTGAGGCCTCGGTGGGCAAGTCCCAACAGCTCTTTGGGGCGTGAGCTGTTTCGGGCGTGTCGCTTCCGGCCCCCTTGCTTTTCCCTCCTTCGGGGGAAGGGTTTACAACTCCCCCTACCCCTTCCCCCATGGGTCTGGACGGGCTGGTGAGTTTACTTTTTTGTTCGCGAGCGCAAGCGGAAGAGCCGCGCGCCGTCAGGGGATTGTCGAGTAGCAAAGACCCAAATTATTACGGCCGGAAACGCGACCGAACGCGTGCAGCTAAAAAACGGCTGGTGGGTTTACACGAAGCGCGTAGGATTGGCCGCAGGGCAGGGCAAACACCAGGGCCGAGGACAGTGGGGACGGGGCCCAACAAGTGAGATTGGCGGCAGCCGAGAGCACCCTCAGGTCAGGGGACGGACGGGGACGGGGCCACGCAAAGGAAATTAGCGGCAGCGGGGTGGGGGGTGGGGGGGGGAGGGCAAACGCCAAGGCTGGAAACAGCCGGGGGATCGGGAAATGGTTGGGCGAGGGAAGCATCCCAGCCCCAGAGAGAGCAAACACCAGGACCAGGGACAGTCGGGGACGGGGCCGAGCAGAGGCATCGGCGGCAGCGCCACGGATGGGGACAGTCAGGAGCAGGGCCAAGGCAAGGCACCGTGGCTGGGGACAGGAAGAGGACAGGGTCGAAGAGAAATCCTGGCAGGGTGGGCAAGCGCCATGGCTGGGGAGGGCCAGGGGAAAGAGAAACTGGCGGCAGCGGACGGCAAGCGCCAGAGCCTGGGGCTGGGGGCGGTCGGGTACTGGGCCGAAGGCAGGACAGCGGGGGGCAAGCTCCATGGCCGACAATGTTGGGCAGTGTGGGGCGAATCACTTCCGAGCTGGCCAACAAAAATACCCCTTCAGTGTAAGCGCTGATTGAGAGACGAACCTCGGCTTCTACTGACCCGGGTCAATGCAAACCCGGGTCAATGAGGTTTTGCAAGATCATGCAAGATACTGCAAGATCCTGCAGGGTACCGTTTGGGTATCTTTTCGGACCACCCTCGCCACCCCCCCATTTATGACCCCCCCATCACGCAACGCCCAATCAACGGGGCCCCCCGAGGAGTGCGGGCGGTCTCAACACCCTGGTGCAGCCTCCGGCAGCGCCCCTGGGGCGCTCCGCGCCCCAGGGTTGGGGGGTGTTGAGGCCGTCCTGGCCTGCTCCGGGGGGTCTGCTAAGGCTCGCCGAGACTAGCTGGGGGGGCTGTCTTCCGAGTAGGGGATCGACTACAGAAATGATTGACCCCAAACACGCTGTCGCCGAATCCACGAAAAATACATCGAATGTTTGAAGAACTGCGAATATCATTAATCAGTTTGAAGGTACGATGGCAACGTCAGTCGTTGGGTGAACCATTTCTGTAGTCGATCCCCGACTCGATATCTGTGCGCAACCCGAAGCCTTACCAAACAGGGGCAGGAACGACATGCCCGACTTAATGCTTCGGGAAAATCGCGTAAACAGGAGGGGGATGAGAATCACCCGACGACCCCAGGGGCGGCCACGAGGGGGGCCTCCGAGAGGGGGCGGAGAGCCAATCGTGGCGCCCGAGGCACGTGCGCGGACCAGGGGGGGCAGGGGGGCAGGGAGCGCCTTGAAAGAGAAGGCGAGGCGCCACGAAAACCTAGGGAGACCTCATGGCCCCCGCCATGACATCCGCCCCTCCTGGCCATCACCACCCCCTCTGGGACGCCCCCGACCGGCGCCCCGACCCCCGCCCACGGAGGCGCCTCCGGGAAGGGCTGCATCGACCACACCGGCCACGGCGACACGGGGAAAGGCGGCACGTCGGAGAAGTAGCGCCGCTCCTCGGGGGGGGGGGGGGGAGGGGGGCGCGGGGGAGGGGGGGGGACAGCAAGCAGTTCAAGCCAGCATGGGATCCAACGGATGCGTCCGTGATTACGACAGGTTCGCGTCGTGTCGACCCTGGCGTTGGTTCCTGACGCCGCGGGGATCGTTCAAACTTGAACGACGGGCCGTTGCATTAACGCCAGATCGTTCAACGACGGGCCGATTCTGGGCCGCGGGCGGCGTTCAACCTCAAACAAACGCGCTGGGGTCGCCGCTGGTCGACACGACGCGAACCTGCCTTACACGTGATCTCGTTATTCGTGGATCCGCCTTTGATAATCGCCTTGGCCGCACCCTGCCTGTTCCCAGGTTGCAGGATGCCGCTGCTAGTACAGATCGGAGGCCCATGCTCCACAAACTGCAACAAGGACAACAAACACCTTGGGACTGGAAGCTGCCCTCCAACCACCCAGCTCCATGACTCCGTGTGGCTGTGCGAGCCGAGCTCCCTGACTGAGCTACCATGCCGAGTCCAGCGATGCGAGATCTTTACCGATAAGACCCTCGTTTGGTCGTCTCCAAAAACCATGGCTTCCTGCAAGACCTGTTCCTATTCTCCAAGTGGTTCCCCCCAACGGCTCAGGGAGCGCGCAGCTGCCTAGTTTATCCGCACATTCGCTCGCCATTTCATGACACAGGCGTTTCCAAAATGCAGGGCCAACGGTGACTCGCCGTAGGCGTCTTCGAGATCCCTCGACTCCAACACGGCCGCCGAGAGGGCGGTGAAATTTGTAGAACACATCTGCCTTTCCACAGAACGCGGTACGATTCCGCTTCTCTAACGAACCACTCGACCGGGCCGATCGGCGCCAAATCGTAAGCAGTGCGCCTGCCCACGTCAACTAAAATTGACCTGCCAAAGCGATCTGAAGCGAAACTCCATTTGCTGGCTTGCACCCTGCGGCTCGACCATACAGTAGGGGCCCGACCACAAGAAACCTTCCACAAGAAAGCCAACCCTGAGACCCCAGGGCGTCCATTGATTTCTGGTATGGAAACGGCAGACGTCGCGCTTCCCATAGCAAAACCATCGAAACCCAAGAAACCCAGGGCACCCTGGAGGCGAGCAGGATGGTTCTTGGCATGG